ACACTTCTTGGTGTCCGAGTAGCCTTCAATGTCATCATCAGAAGCCGCCCGGAACATCTCCCAGTCAGCGCGTTCAAAACAATACTGTAGTAAATTCATGTTGCATGATAAAATTTTAGTAAAATATACACTAAATTACCTGGGTTACATGATAATGTTTTAGTTAAATATACACTAAACTACCTGCTTAAATCCTGCAGAATATGATTCTTATTAACACCAAGAAGAAGCTTGAGGCTGATCTGCTCCAGGTTCAAGGTGAGGTGGATGATACAGTCCAGGAGGCCAGAAATGCAGAGGAGAAGGCCAAGAAGGCCATCACTGATGTGGGTGTTTGCATTCTGTTACTCTATGCTAATTGAAACTTTATTTGACTTTGTTTAGCTGCATGTGGTAGCAAAGAGAGCATTCATGGAAGCTAATTCTATCTATATTGGTTAGCTCGTTTTCATTGGCTTATATTTCAGGCTGCCATGATGGCTGAGGAGCTGAAGAAGGAGCAGGACACCAGTGCTCACCTGGAGAGGATGAAGAAGAACATGGAGGTGACTGTCAAAGACCTGCAGCACCGTCTGGATGAGGCTGAGAGTCTGGCCATGAAGGGTGGAAAGAAACAGCTCCAGAAACTGGAGTCCAGGGTAAATTACAGACTAAATACAGACTTAGATGAGCTAACCATGGCAAAGATATGACAGGAGTCAATAACTCTCTACTGAAGGTGTATGAGTTGGAGAGCATGTTTTTTCTTTACGGTGTTTGGATGGCTGTGGATTAGAGCTTGCAGAAGAGGTGTGTCTTTAAATGCATCACATGACCCCTACCCCTCTCACACTTATCTCAATAACAGCCTGAATTATTTGAGGCATGAAGTCAGCAAAGTTTGGCAACAACACTTAAAGATCCCCAATGCAATTGCTGCAAAGGTATTGGCTGCACATTGTGCCACTGAACCACATCCCTACCAGCAGAAATCCACTGTCCAGTTTTGGTGAGTCAGTGTCCTGTAGTATCAGTCTCCTGCTCTGAGCTGATGGGACTGAACCTGCTGTGCTCTCCTGCTGGTGTAGCCCACACCCATCAAGGTTCACTGAGTGAACTACACTGCACTAACAAATAAAATCATTTACTGCCACTTTCCACTCATCCCTTCACCTTGGATCAGTCATTAACAAGACATTTTCAACCACTGCAACAGAACGAATGCTGACTGGATGTTTTGGCACTGTTCTCTGAAATCCCTCCAGACTATTGTCTGCTCTGCAACTTTCATAGCCTACCAAAACATTTTATAGTTGCTTGTATTCTGACTTGACTATTTTACTTGCATGAAGACAGTCTTTCACACAATTGTACTCTAAAAATACTTCCCTACATCCTGGATACAATGCAAAAACTACATTCAAGACAAGTAAATGATTTTGTGGTTTGACGCTTCATATTTGACTTCATGCACTTACGACAGATGTGGTGTGATTACAAACCATATAATATTCATGTAGAAATGCATCTGGAAATGTAACTCACCATGCTCAGAACCATTTGGCCCAATGATGAATAACTACTACACCACATGTTGACTGTTGTCTGTAAATTTATATTTAAATCAAGCAAAATTCTCAGGCTTGTGACTCTAACACAAAGTCAGTTAATAACAATCTACAACAATAGATTACGGCAGCAGCTAATAAATGTTAGCATATAAACTTAAATCTAGAGAGTCTAGAGCAAGTCAAAAACATTGTTTAATACTTTTTATTTATTAATTTATTTCAAAGTACAGTAAATTGAAAAAGCAGTGCACTTACTGAGAAATCTTACAGTAATGTCATGATAGGTCAGATAAGTCTTCACCGGGGCCTGGATGAGTAACCTAAACTTCATAATTCAAACATGAGCACTCACTGCTATATTTATGATTTGTCCATATATGAACATGCTGTTTATAACTTTGAGAGTCATTATATGACCATGAAATAAGATTTGTATGTGCAGTGATCACTGAGGTTTAATTGCCAAATAAAAGCCTGCCAGAGATATTATTTTTATTTGGAAGGACTGTCACAGTCCATCTCTGGTAATTCATCTAGGTTTTTAATGTCCTGCTTGACAAACTTCTCAAATTGGTCAAGAGGAAAATCTTTGCTCACAATCCTGTGATTGAACTAGATATTTCATACAGTAAGCTCTTTGGGATTTTGTAAAAATTTTAAATATCTGTCCAAAAGTTGACATTATATGCAAACACTGTTACTTGACTGTGTTTGCAATTGAAAAGGAAATAACATGGATGCTAAATGTCCAAAAACAAATGTTGGAACTTGCTGAACACAAGAATGTATCTGGTAAAACAAAGGTAAGAATGGTAAATTACATCATGTGATTTAGCAATATCAATCGTTATGTAACAGATAGTTGCCCAAAACATAAGTTGTATATTACCTTTTATCAAAAGTAAAAACTTTTAGTCATCACTTTGTCCTACATTAAAAAGAAGAGACACAACATAAGAAAAACATGAACTGTAAAACTTTTATACCATATAAGTATATTATCCAAATGTCTATGATTAATATGTTATTGCT